AGAGAAAACAGTGATCATATCAGGGTCTCTGCCATCTGACTCTGTCCACTAACATTTACAGATTGGTTCAAAATGGTTTTGTGTGGTTCTGGAGATTGAAGCACGGCCTTCACACTGAGCTTGTCCCCAGCCCATCCACCCTTAAGTCTGCTAAATTGCTTAAACTGCCCAGGCTGGGCTAGAATCACGAGCAGTGAGTGAATCATTTAATCCAACACTCCTGTGAGGTCGACAGTCCAGCTACCCACCTTTCAGGAGAGGCAGCTCAAGTACAGATATGTTAAAAGACATACTGTACCAAGCTCCACGCAGTTAGAAAAGTGGCCCTTGGAGAGAGGCCTACATATCTGGGAGGGCTGCCACTGACATCTGAGGGAGGGTGGGGTGGGGTGAGGACATGATTGGGGGCCAGGATGAAGAGGGTGTGGAGGGAGGTAAGAGTCAACGACCTGAGGACCCGAGGACAGATCCAACAGAACAGCCCCTAGCCCCACCGACCAAGGTCAGAGAAAGGACAAGAGGAAGCAAGTGTGGATAGGGTGGGGGTTAGAAGGCCGACTGTGGCAAGATGGAGGTGGCGTGGGATGGCGGGGAAAGTATGGGAACCAGGCTGGGACGTGGACCAACCCCAGGGCAAGAGGAAATAGGGACTGGGCGCGGGAACGCGGGACAAGGGTACTGGCTGTAGGTATGGGGCCTGAGCTGGGACACAGGAGCCAGGCGCCGGGCTCTGGGAAGCGTGACGTGGGTAGTGGCCTCCGGGCCCAAACTGGGACTTGGGGGCCAGGGACTGGGCATGAGTAATGGCCATGGGAAACGGGCCGGACCCCAGACGTGAGGACGCCGAGAGTTGGGCATGCGGGTGTGGGGTGCGGCCACGGGGCGTGGGGACCGGGAGTGGAGCACGGGACATAGGGACTGGCTGTGGGACTTCAGCACTTGCAGCCACAGGAACGGACCGTGGGGCGGGGACGGCCCACCTTCAGCACGGTGACGGTGCCCGCGCTGTGCACCTGGAAGTGCGCGGGCAGCTCGGTGCCGGGCTCCGCGGATTCGTCGGCGCCAGGGTAGCAGAAACAGGCGTCGGCGATGTCCAGGCGGCCC